ATTCCTGACCACTAGGCTGCTGGTCTAGCACAGGACAGAGCCACTGTCTCGGCCTGTGCTAGGAAGTCAGCTACCACACAAGCACGGCAGCCCCAGTTCTCAGCTTGGGGACTAAAGCCCAAAGCAGCCGCTGCCAGCCTGCTGGACAGGGCTCAGGGCGGGGAGTAGGGGCACATTTTCATCGCTCGATTTTGCTACCTGTGAGCAACTGGCTGCCATAAGCAATGTGAGGAGGAAGGAAAGGGAAACCCCTGGCTGAGCCGGCGGCTGAACCGATACCAAAGGGTTTTGTTTACTGAGTTTTTGCTCTAATTGGTGACTAAGTGTTGGTTCTACTACTGACTGGAAGGTGGCGGGGAAGCCACCTGCTTCTTGTCCGGTGCGAGGCTGAGACCCTCAGCGCACAGTGACCCGTGACGATGGGGGTCGAGAGGTGTCGCATAAAGTAACCTCAGGAGGCATGTGTGCGGCACCGTGTGGAAGGCAGCCAGGCCGCAGCCTGTGAGCGAGGTGAGTGGGTCTGGATCTCTGTACCAGCTCCCACCCTCTGGACCTGGGCTTCTTGGGGATGTGCACGGTGGGCTGGCACTGGCTCAGCGCCTGGTGGCCACAGAGCAGGTGCGATGGGGGGTGTGGGGTTGGGGGACGCTGCAATGCTGGGCTTACCTCGAAGGCTGGTCCGTGGCCTGGTGCTTTCAGAGGCGCCACTGGAGGCCACATGGTGTCAATCAAACTGAAAAGCTCTGTCATCCTGGAAAAAGAAGAGATGCCTGGTCAGTGAGCTGCTCACAGGCAGATCTGCTCCGCAGACACCAGGCCAAACACCAAGGAGCCACCATTCAGGATGGTGAAGTCAGGGGCACACAGACAGACAGACCTTGGAACCTGACTGCACGAGAACAGGAAGGAGACTGTTCATTAAATTACGATGCCTCTGATATACCTGGAGAAAACTCTAATTCGAAAAGACACATGCATCCCAATGTTCACAGCGGCACAATTTACAATAACCAAGACATGGAAGCAACTTAAATGTCCATCGATAGAGGAGTGGATAAAGAAGCTGTGGTGCACATATACAATGGAATACTACTCAGCCATAAAAAAGAATGAAATAATGCCATTTGCAGCAACGTGGATGGACCCAGAAATCAACATACTAAGTGAAGTAAGTCACAAACAGAAGGACAAATATCATATGATATCACTTATATGTGGAATGTAAAAAAATGATACAAATGAACTTATTTACAAAACAGAAATAGACTCACAGACATAGACAACAAGCTTACGGTTACCAGAAAGGAAAGGGAGAGGCATAAATTAGGAGTTTGGGACTGACAGACACACACTACTATATATGAAATAAACAACAAGGACCTATGGTATAGCACAGGAAACTACACTCAGTACATTGTAGTAACTATAATGGAAAAGAATCTGAAAAAGAATATATACATGTATGTACATGTATAACTGAACCATTTTGCTGCACACCTGAAACCCTGTAAATCAGCTATACTTCAACTAAAAAAACTATAAAAAATTATGAGGCGATCCCCGGAAGAGAGGCGGAAGAGAAACGGTTACACAGAAAATATTTAAGGACATGGAAAGATATTCATGATACCCTGCTAAGTGAAAAGCAGACAACAAATTATAACGTCTCTCTCTCTCTAAAAGATAAAAAAATGTTGTTAGTGGTTATCTGAGTAGAACTTAAAGGTGACATTTATTTTCTTCCTTTGGTTTATGTATTTCCTATATTTTGCAAAACAGATATGTGCCACTCATAGAATAAAAAAGTTATCAATAAGTTATCTAAAATAAAGAATATAGCCAGACACAAAAAGACAAATAGTGTATGAGTCCACTTATACGAGGTCCCTACACCAAACAAATTCACAGAGACAGACAGTGGTTAACGGGCTGGGGAGCTAGTGTTTCCTGGGGACACAGCTTCACTTTGGGAAGATGAGAAAGTTCTGGAGGTGGATGGTAGTGACGGTCACACAACAATGTGAAGGTACTTAGTGCCACTTAAAAATAGCTAAGGTGGAAAATTTTATGTAATGTACATTTTACCACAATTTTTAAAATCCTGTTTTAGTTGCCAAAAAAAAAAAGAATATACATCATAAAGACTTCTTAGACTTTGCCTTAAGTTTCAACAATGTTTAATCAATTTATTTATTTTTATTTTTGGCTGCATTGGGTCTTCGTTGTTGGGTCTTTGTTGCTGCATGTGGCTTTCTCTATTTGCAGCGGGCGGGGGCTACTCTTCGTTGCGGTGCGCGGACTTCTCATTGCGGTGGCTTCTCTTGTTGCGGAGCACGGGCTCTAGGCGCGTGGGCTCAGTAGTCGTGGCTTGTGGGCTCTAGAGTGCAGGCTCAGTAGTTGTGGCACACGGGCTTAGTTGCTCCGCGGCATGTGGGATCTTCCCGGACCTGGGCTCGAACCCATGTCCCCTGCATTGGCAGGCGGATTCTTAACCACTGCACTACCAGGGAAGTACCTTAACCATGTTTATATATAATAATGTTGTTTACTTTTTAAAAAGCTTGTGGCCTTAATAATTAATGTTACATATTCTTATTTCTCTGAACATTTAAGAGCAAGTACTATTTTAAGTGCTTAGGATCCAGCGGTTAACAAAGTCGAAACACTCAGAACTGAGAATGAGGGTCTCAGCATCACGGAGAACAAGACTCAAAGCTTCCCATGGTCTTTCAGCCCCTCACACCAAACACAACAGCATCGTGGCCCGCAGAGCATGGCCTACAGTCAACACCAAGATTCTGGGTCCAAATCAAGCACAAAAGCAGTAAGCGAAGGGGGACACACGAGGGAAATTCACTCTCTCCCTCTCCTGACAGCAGCTGTTTGTGTGGGTGACTGGACAGCGCTGGGCGACCAGGGCCAGTTGAGGTTCAGAGGCAGCTGGCTGGACACTGGGTGGACGCTGGGGGCCCGCTGCACCTCTCTTCCGGGGATCGTCCACCCGCTCCTGCCCTGAACATCCTGCTTCTTTCCACACAGCTCGCTGAAGGATACGCACCGAAGTGCCAGCCCACATGAGGGGCTGGAGACTCGGTGAACGAATAACCAGCACTCATACAGTCTCATACACACCCACACAACTTCTGAGAACCTTGCATAAACAGAGTCGTGTGGTGCATGGCATGTTGAGTTGGCTTTTGTCATTCAGCACAGTGTATCTGAGATCCATCCAAGCTGCTGTGGCATCAGCAGCTTGTTCCTTTTTACTGCTGAGTACTATCCATGGTGTGGATGTGACACAGCTTGTTTACCATTCACCTTTGAGGAACATCTGGGTTGTTTCCAGTTTGTGGCTATTACAAACACTTGGGTACAGATTTTTGCGTGAATGCAGATATTTGTTTCTCTGAATAAATGCCCAGGAGTGCAGCTGCTCTGATAAGTATGTTCAGTTTTTAAAGGAACTGCCAACTCTGCTCCTGGGGGGCCACACCACCTTACACGCCCGCCTGCAACATATGAGAGATGGTTTCTTCACATCCTCACTGGCACCCGGTGCTCTCACTGTTGTTCACTTTAGTTTTTCACGTTTAGTTTTTTAGGAGCATGGTAACATCTCACCATGGTCTTGACGTGCTTTTTCTTAAGGAGAGTGACGTCGAACACCTTTCCATGTGTTAATCTGCCATGCGATGTCCTCTTTGGAAATGTCTCTTCATGCCCTTTGCCCATTTTCTAACTGGATTTCTTGTGTGTGTGTGTGTATGTGTGTGTGTGTGTGTGTGTGTGTGTGTGTGTGTTTACTGTTGAGTTTTGAGACTTCATTATACAGTCTACGATATAAGGTTTGCAAATATTTTCTCACGGTCTGTAGCTTGTCTTGCTTTTGTTGTCACATCTCAGAACTCTACTCAATGAGTCCCAAAGGTTTTCTTTATAGTTTTATGTTTTATATTTAAACCTAAGATCTATTGTGAGCTATGAGATTTAGGCTGAGATTAATTTTTTGCCCATATATGTCCAGTTAGTTGAAGACTATCCTTCCTCCGCCAAATTGCTTTGTTTGCACCTTGGTCAGGAATCATTTGGCCATAATCCCACAGGCCGCTTCCCAAGTTCTCTCCACTGATCAGAGAGTCATCCCTCCACCAATGCCGCAGTTTCTTGTAGCCATATCATAAGTTTTGAAATTGGGTGTGATTCCTCCCACTTTATCCTTTTTTCAAAACTGTTTTATCTACTCTAGTTCCTTTGCATTTCCAAACAAAGCCAATCAGGAGCAGTACACAGAGGGCAAGATGAGAGGGGCTGCCCCTGGAAGGAAGACTTCTGGTTTGCGACAGAAAAATGTTGAAGTGAAAACAAAAAAGAACAAACAGCAAACACACCTGGAAATGGAGATGGTGGTAGTACGAGTGAGACACCTCAGTCTCCTCACAAGAAAAGGGCCCAAGTAGCCTCTACTGTTGAAAATGAGGAAACGTTCATGAACAGAGGTGAAGTTAAAGGAGAGATTCCCGAAGAACGAAAACCACGGCCTGTTGGAGACTGGGACTTAATTACCCGGCAAAAAGAGCTCTTTTATCCTCCTGACAAGAAGAATGTGGATTCCATTCTAGAGGATTCTGCAAACTACAAGAAATCTTGAGGAAACACAGAAAATAAGGGGTATGCTGCTAATGAAGTTGTGGCAGGGATCAAGGAATACTTCAGCGTAAGGCTGGGCACTCAGCTGCTCTGCAAACATGAGAGACCGCGGTATGCTGAAATCCTTGCAGATCACCCTGATGCGCCATGTCCAAGGTGCATGCAGCGCCACACCTACTGAGATTATTTGTACGTATTGGAGCAATGCTGGCCTACACACCTCTGGATGAGAAGAGCCTTGCTTTATTACTGAATTATCTTCATGATTTCCTAGAACACCTGGCAAAGAACTCTGTTTAGTGCCAGTTGATTATGAAGTGGCTCCTCCTGAGTACGAGTGGAAAGCTGTGTGAGGTGCTTATACGCCCTCATGTTTGGATCTCTGTAAACACATTTTTGTCAGTCCTTCTCTTGTACAAATGATGTACTTTGGAAACGTTACTGTATAACAGAAATGATGTTTGTTTTCTGTTTGATTTTAAACAGAAACTAAAAGGGGTTACAGGTCCTTTTTTTTTCTTTTTTTTTTTTTTCATTTCAAAGTTGCTACCAGTGTTTTCAATGACGGACAACAGAGAGACGTACTGTACAGTGTTTTACTGCTTAGCTGACAAAGCTGCGTTTGAATGTTCTATTCCTTTGTCAAAGGTTCTATTCCTTTGACACTATGCACTTTTACAATATGTGTTAATGCTATATGACAAAATGCTCTGATTCCTAGTGCCAAAAGTTCAATTCAGTGTGTATAACTGAAAACACTCATCCATTTGTGCTCCCCCTTTTTGTGGTGCTTACAGTGAACAGCCCACATCCTTTGCAAGTCATTCATGTTTTTCCTTAGGCATTTTATCTTTGCTCAGATTGTCAAAGAATGGTGGCTTGTTTCACGGTTTTTATATTTGTGTCTAATCACGTTTTAACATGATAGACACAATGCATTGCGTAGCTAGTTTTCTGGAAAAGTCAATATTTTAGAAATTGTTTTTCAGATCTTCAATAAATTTTTTCCTTAAATTTCAAAAAGAAAAAAAAAGTTTAGAATAGGCCTGGATATATCTACGAAAATTTTTGCTGAGACTTTAATGGGTTTTGCGTCAAGCCTAT